CAGTGAGCGACTGTCCCCTCACTTGTTCATACAAAATATTTCATAATATTCCATTCATTTTAGTGCTTGCAAGTGCTAAATAAGCTACCATGGCTCCAAAGAAAGCTCCCAGCACCAAGCCTTTGGTAAAGAAGGCGAGAAATACGATTGAATTTAAGAAAAACATCATTGAACAATATGAAAGTGGCATACGTGTGGCTGAACTGGCCAGGAGGTATAACAAAGTCCATACAACCATATCTTCCATCGTGGCAAAGAAAAAGGAAATCAAGGAAGCTGTTGTTGCTTGGAGAAAATTGTGGCCAGATTGTGTCCACAAGAGGGATTTTGAAGGGTTTGTGGCCGACCCTGATGAACCTATGTCAGTTGTGAAATCTATTGTGGCATTGGGGAGTTCCATGGGATTGGATGTGAGTTTGGAGGATGTGGAAGAGTTGGTGGAGGACCACAACAAAGAGCTAACCACTGAGGAGCTGCAAGAGTTTCAGCAGGAAGAGCAACAGATCGCAGCTCAGAATCTTGCTGCAGAGGAGGAGAAAGAGAGATGGAAGAAGGTGCCTTCTTCAGAAATTAAGGAGATTTTTGAAATGTGGGGTAGGATGGAAAGATTTATGGAGAAGCATCGCCCTGAGAAGGATGTTGCAAGCCATATCGGCAACTTGTACAGTGACAGAGTCTTGGCCCATTTTAGGGAAGTTTTAAAGAGACGCCAGAAACAGAGCTCTCGGGACATTTTTTTTGCGAGACAGGACTCCAGTGACTCCCAAGCTGGTCCTAGTGACATTAAGAAACAGATAAGAGAAGTACAGTGGACCCCCGCATACCGTTGGCATCACATAACGTTAAATCCGCCTACCGATGCATTTTATCGCTAAGATTTTGCCTCGCATACCGCTAAAAAACCCGCTCAACGCTATTCGTCCGAGACGCGTCTAATGTGCGGCCTGAGCCAGCCTCACATGTTCCGCCAGTGGCATTGTTTACAAGCCAGCCTCCGCGGTAACATCCAAGCATACAATCAGAACATTTCGTATTATTACAGCGTTTTTGGTGATTTTATCTGCAAAATAAGTGACCATGGGCTCCAAGAAAGCTTCTAGTGCCAACCCTGTGGTAAAAAGGGTGAGAAATATTATCGAAATACTGTGGTACCATGGTCAACTGCTGATGCTGCTGCTGCTGTAGCACTGTCAGCTGCTGCTGCTGCTGTAGCACCATCAGCTGCTGCTGCTGCTGCTGTAGCACTGTCAGCTGCTGCTGTAGCACTGTCAGCTGCTGCTGCTGTAGCACTGTCAGCTGCTGCTGCTGTAGCACTGTCAGCTGCTGCTGCTGCTGCACTGTCAGCTGCTGCTGCTGCTGTAGCACCGTCAGCTGCTGCTGTACCACCATCAGCTGCTGCTGCTGCTGTAGTACCGTCTGCTGCTGCTGTAGCACCGTCTGCTCCTGCTGCACTGTCAGCTGCTGCTGCTGCTGTAGCACTGTCAGCTGCTACTGCTGTACCACCGTCAGCTGCTGCTGCTGCTGTAGCACTGTCTGCTGCTGCTGTAGCACTGTCAGCTGCTGCTGCTGCTGCTGCACTGTCAGCTGCTGCTGCTGTAGCACCGTCAGCTGCTGCTGCTGCTGTTCCACCGTCAGCTGCTGCTGCTGCTGTAGTACCGTCTGCTGCTGCTGTAGCACCGTCTGCTGCTGCTGTAGCACTGTCAGCTGCTGCTGCTGTAGCACTGTCTGCTGCTGCTGTAGCACTGTCAGCTGCTGCTGCTGCTGCTGTAGCACCGTTGTTGGTGTGGCTTATTGAGAATACCAAGAAACAATTAACCCCAGAGGGTTAGCCACCCAGGAAAACACAAAAAAGTCAGTGTCATCGAAGACTGTCTAACTTATTTCCATTGGGGTCCTTAATCTTGTCTCCCAGGATGCAACCCACACCAGTCGACTAACACCCAGGTGAACAGGGAAAAATGCCTGGAACTTGTGCTCATATTGGTGAATTTAAAGCCAGCAAAGGTTGGTTTGAGAGATTTAAGAATCGTAGTGGCATACACAGTGTGATAAGGCCTGTTCTGGAAGAAAATGCCAAACAGGACCTACAGTACTCAGGAGGAAAAGGCACTCCCAGGACACAGTGTCTCATCAGTCATTGCTGCATCTTCAATAAAGGTAAGTGTCATTTATTCTTCATTTAGTAGAGTAGTACATGCACAATATATACTGTGCATATACTACTCTACTATTGTGCATGTATCCTTCTCTTTGTGTGTAGGAAAATGTATATTTCATGTGGTAAAAAAAAATTTTTCATACTTTTGGGTGTCTTGCACGGATTAATTTGATTTCCATTATTTCTTATGGGGAAAATTCATTCGCATAACGATAATTTTGCATAACAATGAGCTCTCAGGAACGGATTAATATCGTTATGCGGGAGTCCACTGTATGTAACCCCAGAAAAGGACTTGGTACCTGAGGTGTTGATGGAAGGGGATTCTCCTTCCAAACAGTAACTAATCCAATCTCTCTCCTCCTCCAGTCTTCCATACACTAAGAAGAATTGCCAATAAAGGTAAGTGTTATGCTGTTTAATGTTTCATTCATCATGTCCCATTGTATTGTTTATGTACTACATCTATATTTCATGTAAAAAAAATTTTTGTTTTAATACTTTTGGGTGTCAGGAACGGATTAATTGTATTTACATTATTTCTTATGGGGAAAATTAATTCGAAAATCAGCTATTTCGATAATCGTCGCACTTCCAGGAACAGATTAATGACGATAAACGAGGGACCACTGTATAAATGTCAAACACGGTGGCTCGTAAGACGTATATGCAGTGGACCCCTGGTTAACGATATTTTTTCATTCCAGAAGTATGTTCAGGTGCCAGTACTGACCGAATTTGTTCCCATAAGGAATATTGTGAAGTAGATTAGTCCATTTCAAACCCCCAAACATACACGTACAAACGCACTTACATAAATACACTTACATAATTGGTCGCATTGGGAGGTGATCGTTAAGCGGGGGTCCACTGTATACTACTGAAACTGTCAAAGGGTTAAGTCATTCAGTCAGTCAAGTCATTCAGTCATTCAGTAAGCCAGTCAGTCACACAAACTTATGTTTACCTCTTTTTATGTGTACAAAGTAACATTTCATTACAGCCACAGGTTATATCTTATCTAATACTGTATCTTTGTTTTCTTCGTTAATTCTAAGACCTAAATACTTACACCTTTTCTTGCCACTTTCAGCAACACTGGTATGCCTACTGGGTGTCATGATTGCTTGGCATATACAAGATACAGTAATTAAAAGATCAAAACACAATTTACAAACACAGCTAGCCTGTAACAGAGAAGAAGGACTGGACACGTATGAAATACGAGTGCTGGGATGGTGGGGCGTTGTTGGGGGGTGGCAGGGGGTGGTGGGAGGTCTCCTGGTCTCCCCCGCTGATCCAAACAAGGCAGCTGCTTGAGGAAAAGTGATTTTTTTTTTTCCTTCCCACAAACTGAACAGAGTTAAATTAATTTTACGTGTTACATAAAATTGTGCCACAATTCTTCAGTCGTGCTATACCCAAATTGTGCCAACTAAACTCGTGCTAAATAATGGTCTACTGTATATTTTTTTTTAATACATCAGCCATTTCCCACTGAGGCAGGGTGACCCCAAAAAAAAAATAAGAAAAAACTTTCAGCATCATTTAACACTTTAACCATCATTCATACATAATCACTGTCTTTGCAGAGGCACTCAGAGACGACAGTCTAGATGTCACTCCAAACAGCCAATATTCCAAACCCATCCTTTAAAGTGCAGGCATTGTGCTTCCCACTTTCAGGACACAAGTTTGGCTAGCCGATTTCCCTGAATCCCTTCACAAAATATTACCCTACTTGACTCGCGAAATCGTAATGACACGATTGCAAACAAACCATACCACGGGCGGGGATAGAACCCGTTAACAGGGATAGAACCCGTTAGCTACTGGACCAGCTAGCTGGTCCAGTGGCTAATGCCATGGTCTGGAGTTTTGAGACTCTCTGATCGCGGGTTCTATCCCCACCCATGGTATGGTTTGATTACCCTACTCATACTCCAACAGCACGTCAGATCCCAAAAACCACTTGTCTCCACTCCTATCTAACATGCTCATGCATGCTTGCCGGAAGTCCAGGCCCCTCACCCAGAAACCCTCTATTACCCCCTCCCTCCAACCTTCCCCTACAGATTTATATGCTCTCCAAGTCATTCTATTTGTTCCATTCTCTGTAAATGACCAAACCACCTCAACAACCCATCTTCAACCCTCTGGCTAATAATTTTAGTAACTCCACACCCCATAATTTCCACACTGAATTCTCTGCATAATATTTACACTGCACATTGCTCTTAGATATGACATCTCTGCCTGCAGCCTTTTCCTTGCTGTGGCATTTACAACCCATACTTCACGCCCTTATAAGAGTGTTGATACCACTGTACTCTCGTACATTCCCTTCTTTGCCTCAGATAATGTTTTTTGTCTTCACAGATATCTCAAAGTACCACTCACACTTTTTCTTTCATTAATTCTATGGTTAACCTCATCTTTCATAAACTGATCTGCTGACAAGTCAACTCTCAAATATCTGAACACATTCACTTCTTCCATACTCCCTCCCTCCAATGTGATATCCAATTTTTCTTTATCTAAATCGTTTGATGCCCTCATCACCTTCTTCTTGTATATGTTCACTTTCAACTTTCTACCTTTACACACCCTCCCAAACTCCTCCACTAACCTTTGCAACTTTTCTTTAGTCTCCCAAAAGCACAGTATCACCAGCAAAAAGTAACTGTGTGAACTCCCATTTTGTATTTGATTCCCCATAATTTAATCCTATCCCTTTCCCCAACACCCTAACATTTACTTCTTTTACAACCCCATCTATAAATATGTTAAACAACCATTGTGACATTACACATCCCTATCTAATATCTAATTTCCTTTCCAGTTTAAATTAATTAAAGAATTCAATAAGGATAGAAGCAATAGAGACTTAGAAGATGTGCTTCATGCTGCTGCTCATGACAGTGATAGTGCTGATGTAATAGTTCAAGGTAAGCATACTTGTTAATATTTTCTATACAGGCTTTTTACTTTGATTAATTTCTAGCTTAAAATACTCAGATCTAAATCTTTTTTTACCAGTTTTCAGAAGGAAAGCAGCAATACTAATGAAATGGTATAAATAAGTACCGTAATGAATAACTGTATCTAAAAATATTAATCTACCTTAGTTGCATCACCATCGATGTAATCAATGTACAGGCATCTTAAATCCTCTTTGCGCCCATCAGTACTTCATATTTGCTTGCTTCAGTCTGTAGGAATCTATGAACCTAGAGATAGCCACATACTAAACAGTGTATTACACAGATAATTCATATCTGGAAAACTTCTTATGCTTCTATGTAATACAGCATCCAAAAAATAAATCACACTCAAAACACACAATTCTTTCTTGTGCTAGACAGCCTGTGAGCTATGTTATGGATGCTGAGTGTATGTCCAGTAGTTTATATATGCTAGCAGCTCACCCATTTCTTGCCCTCAGTCACCTCATTGTAATTGTCATTGGTGACTATATTTTTGTGTATTATATAATTGAAGTATGACATGAAAACTTCTGGAAATGTATTCTCTGTTTACGAAATATATGAAGTAACTTTTGCAGGTGCCTTCACTGTTTATCTCCTACCATTAGCAATATATGTTATTATACTATCCTTGTTAATTTAGTCTTATTAATAAAAATTGTATGCTATGGATTGAAAAAGCACTAATCTGTATTTACTATTAATTTCTTGTCAGGTATTAGAGATATAGTGAAGATTCCTAGTCTGACTCAGAGTATAAAAGGAATATTGACTGCTGGAGTAATCAAGTCCATCAAGTATTCATGGTCTAAGCTGAACAAAATGTGGAAGAGTTTACAAAGATGACTCATCAATTACAATGTTCTGTACATTTATTCCTGGCACTTTTTAAAACACTTTCTATATTTATAAGTAATTACAATTCTGCAAATGTTCAGTTATTTTTGTATTTGTATTATTTTATGTAAATGCTATTATATTTTGCTTGTTATATTTAATTTAATGTTGAAATTATATGTGAAGCTTGCACTGAATTATAAGACATTTTAATTACATATGCATATAGGAGGATCCATAGGGATACATATTTAAAATGTGATTTCATATGCTGTTACTGACTGATATTCAGTATGTACTTTTAATCTTATATTGCATTGATTTGGGGAGAAAAATATGTAAAATCTGTGCTATTTGAATTTGTTTGATTTCATGCTACTAAGGATGACCTCTTCAAGGGGGGCTACTTGGCGTGGTGAAGAGGCTCTTGGTCTGATGAATTAGACCTGTCGGTCTCCTTCCTCAGACCGAACCTAATTACCCACCAGTCCCCCCTTCCCTCTCCCATCCTCCCCTTTTTCCTTTCCTCCTCCTCCCCACCCCTCCCTTTTGCCCTTCCTTTTTGGCCTTTGGGATTTTTTCCCACAGGCGCGTTAGTTCCTAGGTAGGGGAAAGGGTACCGGGGTCCATCCCATTCCATTGAGGTTCTTGGCGGTGGCGTAGTTTGCCATGGAATCTGGATTGCCTGGAGATGTCCCGATCCCTCTCCGGTATCCCGAAGGGTGGCTTTGGGTGTCTTTCGGGTGACGGGTGTATCTCTGGAAGCCACCTTTCGGATTCCAGGGGTGGTGGCCGAAGGAGGTATGCTTTGTGGAGGATATCCGGCCGCCCTCTCTTTTGTCCACCGAGGTAGTTCGGCAGATGAGAGGTTGCTATCCCGGATTGCTGGTTTACTGGCATGATGGGTAGGGTATGGCATGGGTTCCATGCTGCATCTGCGCTACTTGCAGTGCTGAGGTCCTCTTGGGCGCGGAGGGAGGTTTCTGGCCCTTTCATTCCTCCTAGGAACTATCCCTCCCTGGTCCCCCATTTTTTTCTTCTTTTTTTTTTCTTCTTTCTTTTTTTTTCTTAAAAACAAAAAGAAAGAAGTAACCTAACCATGGAGTACCCGATCCATGACCCCGCTACCCCCAGGCCCCTTATTGTTACCGCACCCCGTTCTGACCTCGCCACATCTTTTGACCACTCTTTGGGCATTCCTAAGGCCCCTGTACCTCTTGCTGGTGCTGTTTCCTCACCTGCTTCAGGTACCGGGGCTTCCACTGACTCCTTCGATTTGTCTGACCTCCGCTCTCCTTTGACCATGCTTCCGGCTTCTCCCTCTATGGTGCGGCGATTTTCGAATTGCCAGCCCGTCCCACGTCAGACCGACTCTGGTCCCACTTCTAAACGTCAACGACAATCTCCTAATGATGTTACTTCATTACTCGGAAAAGACTGACACGTCATGCACTCCCTCTCCACACTCAGTTTCAGACCACACAGTGGATTAAATTCTTTACATTAAGACCGACTTCTTCTACTGCCTATCTTTCCTACCATAGTATTGGCAAAGCGCTCCTACACCACGTTGGTAGAGATATTTCCTTTCATGCTCTTAAGAGTGGTATGCGCATCATCACAGTCCAGAATTCTACCCAAGCTCATGACCTTTCTCTTCTTTCACATATCGATACTATTCCTATCACTATCGAAAAACATCATTCCCTCAATTCTTGTAGTGGTACTGTTATTCTGCCCATACCATAGTCCAACAGAATTTCCAGACATGTGGCACTGACATTCCCGAACAGCTGGAACTCCAAGATCTCCCAATTCTCAAGGTAGACACTTATGTTCTTCCTGCCCGCGGGCGAAGACGATACCCTTGCAATGTGGCTCGTTTAACTTTTGACAGCCGTGAACTTTCCCATTCCTCTGTTTATGTAGCAGGACATCGGTTTTCAAGTTCGGAAGGTGATCCCCTACACCGCAACAGTGTAGGAATTGCTGGCAATTTGGCCACCCAGCAAAATATTGCAGATCTATAGCCGAATGCCCAGTCTGTGGTGCCGATGACCATTCTAATACGTCTTGCAGTCGAACTCCCTCTTGCCTTAATTGTCATGAGGCTCACCCTTCGTATTCTCGCCGTTGCCAAGTCTACTTAAATGAGCAGGAAATTCGTTGCCTCAAAGAGGCAGAAGGTCTCCCTTATGCTATGGCAGTTTCTCATCTCCACCTCCAAGGGAGACTGCCCCGTGTTTCTTATTCTTGTGTTTCAAAGCGTCCCCCCACTTCTGGGGTCACATCTTCTGCAGCCTCCTCTGCGGTTGCCAGTCCCATAGTCACTCCTGTATCTAATTCTTTTGCTGTCCTGGGCTCAGATGTCCCTACTTCAACTCCTCAGTCTGTCCTCACTTCTTCGTGTCCTCCCTCTCAAACCCCGGTATTGACAAGACCTCGTACAACACCTCCCAATCGTCTCTCTACTTCTCAGAGGCCAAGAAAATCTCCTTTAACCCCTCCTCCCCTTCATCCACCTCCAAATTTTACCTTCCCGGTCTCTGTACCTGGGTCTTCCCCTTTCACTGGCTCTGTTACAAGTGTGGAGGTTCATCCTCCTCCTCGTACTGTGCCTTCCTCCCCTGTCCCCTCCCAAGTTTCTTCCTCTTCTGCCACCTCCCAGGTTTCTGCCTCTTCTGTCCCCTCCTACACTTCTCCAGTTCCCTCCACCCTTTCGCCCCCCCTACCTTGGTACAGTCCATTACAGCTCTGATCTTTACTCAAACTCCTCCTCCTTCCATCTCCAATATTGTCTCCCATATGACATCTCTGAACTCCAAAACACTTGAAGCAATCTCTGTATATATTGCAGAGACCAAACCATCAATGGACACTGATCCACCCTCTGTTCCTTCTCTTTCCTCTTCTCCATCTGCGCAACTCCTTTCTTCACAACGCACCATTCCTTCGCTACTTGAATGTTTTCCTTTGTCACCGCATGTGGACTTTTCTAACCCCTCTAGTCCGTAGGTACCCTTACCTGCGGATTTCAGGTATTTTTATCGTTGCCAATCATGGCCTATTTACAGTGGAATATTCGCGGCCTCAGGGGTAATCGGGGTGAGCTTCAGATGTTGCTCTCCCAGTTTTCCCCTGTTGGTGTTTGCTTACAGGAACCAAAATTACACTCTGCCGTTATCTATCCTATCTCAGGCTATAATTTATTGTATTCTTCAGATCCTTTTCCTGATGGGACCTTTAATGAAAGTGCCCTTCTTCTACGCACTGTCTATCCCAGATATTGCCATTCTTGTTTCGTCATTACCGCCACCACTTCTGTTACTTGGCGATTTTAATGCCCATCATTTCCTCTGGGGGGGTCTCACTGTGATTCCTGTGGCATTCAGTTAGAGGCTTTTCTTGCTACCCACCCCCTCCATGTTTTAAATACAGGTACTCACACCCATTTTGATCCTCGGACTCGTACTCTCTTTTGCATCGATCTCTCAGTCTGCTCTTCCTCTGCCGCATTAGACTTCACCTGGTCTGTTCTCCCGGATTTACATGACAGCGATCATTTCCCAGTCATTCTTACTTCCCCTTCATATTCGCCACCTCTTCATAACCCCCACTGGCAATTTGATCAGGCAAATTGGAACCTTTGCTCACAACTAACTGTTTTTAGTGAGGTTCCTTCTTCGTCCTCCATTGATGAGCTTTTACACCTCTTCTCGTCCTCCGTTTTAACCGCAGCTTCTCATTCTATACCCCAAACTTCAGGCAGGCATTCTCAGAAATGCGTGCCTTGGTGGTCTCCTGCTTGTGCTCGTGCAGTACGTTTGAAACGCGCTGCGTGGGGCAGGTACCGGTACAATAGAACCACAGAGAGACTTCTTGATTTTAAGCAGAAGCGTGCAATCGCTTGCCGTGTCATCCGTGATGCTAAACGCACTTGCTGGCGAGATTGTCTCCACCATCACCTCTGCTTCCTCTATGAGTGCAGTCTGGAAAAAAGTATGAAAACTGAGTGGTAAATATTCTCCTGACCCGGCTCCTGTTCTGTGGGTTGCCGGTGTTGATATAGCAAACCCACTAGATGTTGCCAATGAAATTGGCAATCATCTGGTCCATATTTCTCAGGGGCTCCATCTATGCCCCTCGTTTCTTTCCTCAAAGTCTGCCAGAGAGTTAGTACCCTTGGACTTTTCTTCTCTCAGACAAGAACAGTGTAATGTGCCATTTACACTTCAGGAACTGGAAGCAACACTCTCAGCTTGCCGATCATCGGCAGCTGGGCCCGACAACATTCATATTTGTATGCTACAACATTTACATCAGTCAGCCCTTGCAGTCCTATTATGCCTTTTCAATCTTATTTGGTCACAGGGAGTTCTTCCACAGCTGTGGAAATCTGCCATTGTTCTCCCTTTCCACAAACCGGGTACTACGGGACATGAAGCCTCCCACTATCGTCCCATTGCTCTTACCAGTGCAGTTTGCAAAGTAATGGAATGCCTGGTAAATAGACGTTTAGTGTGGTATTTAGAGACACACAACAGTCTCTCCACTCGTCAATATGGCTTTTGTAATGGCTGTTCTGCCATAGACCCCTTACTACACTTGGATACGTATGTTCGTAATGCCTTTGCGAATAACCACTCAGTTATTGCCATATTTTTTGACCTTGAGAAGGCATATGACACAACTTGGAGGTATAATATTTTGGCCCAAGCCCACTCCTTAGGCCTTCGAGGCAATCTACCATCCTTCCTTAAGAACTTTTTAACTGACAGACATTTCCGTGTTCGTGTTAATAATGTGCTCTCCCCGGACTTTATCCAAGCTGAAGGTGTCCCCCAGGGATGTGTTCTGAGCACAACACTTTTTCTCCTTGCTATAAATGATTTGGCCTCTAGTCTTCCATCCAATATTTGGTCATCCCTCTATGTTGATGACTTCGCTGTTGCACGTGCAGGCGCTGACTGTCACCTCATTACAGTTTCTCTCCAACATGCGGTCGACCGTGTTTCCACTTGGGCCACCACACATGGGTTTAAATTTTCCAGTGCCAAAACTCGTCAAATTACTTTCACTAGACGCTCTGTCATCTCCGATCATCCTTTGTACCTCTGTGGCTCCCGTATCCCTGAACGTGATAGTCAGGTTTCTAGGCCTCCTCTTTGACCGTAGGTTATCCTGGAAACCTCACATT